CGTTGACTGAATACTATGAGATACTGTTTGAAGTGTCTTGTCCCTATTCGAATTGCATGACCTGTATATTAACATACTAGTGCTAAGTTTCCATGGAAATCTGCCTGATTTGATTTCAACAAAATCTGCATTGTTCAGTTTCAGGTTGGATTTTAGGGGGGATTAAATCACAATATCTACACAGATCGACCAAATTATAGCGTAATTATAGCACAGCTACTCTAGTTGATAGACCCATATGTGAGTTATGGCAGGACATAGCGGGTTTCTAGTATTGCCAATTACATTTTACAAACAGGATTACAAACTAGAGTGAGAACCGCTCAGATGCAAACCAGTGAGTGGACAAAATCCATCCAAACAAATATGATGTACAACTTCAAAATTTAGTCACATTTTGAGCGGAAGAATTGTGTGGAATACAAAAATGTAGACTAAATTAATCCAAAGAATGTTCTACATGTGAACACAGTGAATTAATATTACATTACAAACTTCAGATTGCAGATTTGAGCACCTTGTCAAACATAGCGGAACTTTCGATATGCAAATAATTGTTTAGTTTTAAACCGTTGCAGGCAAAACAAACATTGCTGGCAACTAATTTGCTAGGGATATTGAAAACATTCCAAGGGACAATGATACGAAAATAGCGGTTTTCATCACAGACGCTGGGAACAGTTCTTGGATCATAAAAAGTACCTAAAGTAGGGTTGGTATACTTAGTCAGATGCCAGTACACGACCACTCAGTGTACCAGTGACTGACTAAGTATTCTGACCTGACACTTTAGGTCCCTTTTATTATCCAAGAAACGTTCTGAGCACCTGTGGTTTTCATGACCAGTTCAGCACACTCTGTAAATGAGAATTTAAAGATTACATATTTACAAATTTCTGATAACTGCAGCTTTATTGGTTGAAATTTCCGGTGATTTTTAGAATTAATTCATATTTTCATATTTATTAAAAATTCAACAAACTCACACCACGAAATTGAGGATATTTATGTTTAACCATAACTTGAAAGCGTCATGGTTTTCTAAGGTCTATACGATTAAATTATGCACCTACAAAAGCATATACGCGTAAATAATATTAGGTTTTATTCACCTGGTCTGAAAGGCTCAATCAACACGTCCGAGGCCAGGCACAGCTTCTTGGCAATCTTCAAACCTTCTGAGCTCTTCAAATCGAGAACGATGGACCGTTTCCCTCTCGACAACAACGGACGAGATGTAACTTCCATATTACCAGTTCGTTCTATTTTAATAACATCGGCCCCATAATCAGCTAAAATCATTCCAGCGAACGGCCCTGGGGCAAGGCCTCCAAACTCGATAACTTTTACATCCGACAAGATCATCTGCGCGTGGTTCATCTTGTGAAGAAATTTCTCGTCGGTTTTTACCAAAACTTCAAGTCGATGTTGCGGGTCCTAGACGACATGTACATGCGCTTTATCAGTTGAAAGCGTGACCTTTGATTCGTCCGTCGTATCATCCTGTGTCACTGGGTGCTGCTGATGTACGGAACACTCCATCACAATAATAAGAATTGACCCCATTGACCAACAACACCATAATTAGGGTCAGAGTTCATAATGGATCTTCGGAACCATACGTATTTTCTTTCTTTCTAAGTCTTGTTGTTGTTGTTGTTGTTGTTGTTGTTGCATGTTGTTGTTGTTCTTTTTAAAAATTAAGAGATTAAAAAAAAACATGAAAATAGCAAAAATAGGTAATAATGGAATGATCGCGAAAAAAACAGGTACTAGTACGCTCAAATCCTTTTCAATACAGCATGTGTATTCACAAGCGCCACTATACAAGATATACATACATGCTTTCGTTTTTATTTATTCTTAACTTTACCAAACGCGTTCAGCATAAAGTTACAATTACTGTTACATAGAAAACGTGTGACTTGCATGCATAACACATCGGAAATGTTGTTATTTTTTGACCAATTTTTCAGAAACCATTTTAAAGTTTTATCTCACTATACAATCTAGTTACACTCGCTGTGTAAGTTCGAACACAGTGATGATAATAATCATAGTAGATTGTCTCAGTTCGTAACAAATGACCGCCCAATTTGTTATTTACAGCTGTCGAGCTTCTACTGCCTTTTTCTGAGTAATATTTCATTGAACTTGGAATAATATGTATCATGTGCATACAACAAATAATAACACAATGTGAAAATGGATGACACGTGACACCAATGTCTTGGAACACATTTTGCAAAGTAATTTCCCGCGAAAAAAGCGCGCGGTTCTCTGATTTGGAACTTTCGGAATATTTGAATTTATTCCTGATACGCGCAATGGAACGACTGTAGAATAGAACAACACAAACAGTGGCACACCCAGACTGAGAAGCTACTAACTAGCAACGGTAAGTGTAACTGTCCTCAACTTTGTGCATGTTGTCCCATCCACTTGGCATCTTGAACCCAATCGTTCATATAGTTATAATTAGAGAACATTTTGTGACACCAGTATGTTATTTTTGTTTCTATTTCGAGTTGATTAGAAATAAATAACGTCTTAACAGGTTAACCTGTAAATTGAAAACTTGTGAGTTCATATCATATTTATATATATTCTTAAGTTTGTTTAATGTGATATAATGGATGAATGCCTCCACGTATTGTTTTTTCTTGCTACGACCCATTTCAACTCCCTCTCAAATAACTGTTTTTTTCTTCTTTCTTTCAATCTAGGTATCTCTTTGTCAATTTATCTGAGTTTCACAGCTAAATACGGTAGGTACATATTTTTATTTATATTGTTGGTTATTTCACCTGCCTCGACAATAATAGCATCAGGCTAATATGCACTATATAGTATTCTTTGAATTTCCATATTTATTGGTAATGTTGGAATATGCATGGTCTGTGTTTGGAGAATGTTTAACGATTTTTTTACTTTGACTTCGGTGCACAGCGACATCATATTGCACGAAGGTCACATTATTGTGGTGGGTTTCTTAAATGAGACAAGCGATGTTTAAATATACTGATTTACTTATTCGACAGAGTGCACCATTACTAGTAATTATGGCTAGTGAGAAGCCGACGAAATCCTCAAGTTTTACCACGGAGACCCAACCATCTATCAAAGATGATGAGAGTGTTTCCAGGGAAACCAAATCTCATTTCAATGTTCGGTAAGCCAAACCAAATCTTTTATACTCAAGCACTATTATTGGGATGTTTAGTGTCTAGAGTTTTAATTTTATCAGCGGTAATACCGTACACATGATCATTGGAACGGGCGGAGAAAAAGAATGTCCAGCGACGACTGCGTACTGGTCGCTGTGCGTTAACGCTTTCCAATTGAAATCTGAAAAATTCTATCTAGATCATCCAAGGTTCCATGAAACCCGTCCACGCCACGCTGTGTGGCGCGGATCGCTTGGACGGGTTTCATGTTCTCTGCACGTAATAAGCTCGGTTATTAAGCATCCTTTTTGGGGGATGCCCGGTGGCCGAGGGGAAGACGTGACGTGTAGTGGCGTGAAGCTAGGCGATTAGGTACCGTACGCGAGCGCCGGTTCGAGTCACGCACGCAGTACGTGTTTACTATAATTAGACATAGTCTTTACCTTGCCGTTTATTCGGTGTTATTTGCTTACTTTACTTCCTATGTCGACAGCAACTATGAGTTTAAAATTATTTCTCAGTACTTATTCACTGTTACAATGCTGTACCATTACTTTCACCATCCTACTACAGCCAGATCTGAAGGCCTTTGCCGCATTCTGGCCACGCGTGTGTGGCGCGGATCGCGT